TGTTATATCGAGAGCAGACCTGTACTTCTCTTAGAAGTCCATGTATACATGCCTGTTAACCATAGACTACATGTACTGCTTCTGGCTAGATAAACTCTTGTGTAATCAATGGCGGTGCTAGTGAAGCGTATATCCACTCTGATTTAGCCACCCACGCTAGTAGTAAGTATTACTGTGTTACCTTCACTGGGAACCGGGGTAACTCCAGGTGGATCCCAGGACGGATACCCTGATGCCGTCAATCCTTTCGTGCACCTTGTCCTCACCCACATACTGAGGTGTGCGTGTGGCGAGCCCATAAGTGGGATCATTTTCAAGTCCACCCAGAGTTTTGGGGATTTCAGGGGTGTCGGCCGGCCAGCCGTTGGGCAGTTCAATAGCCAATTGAGTCATCTTTCCAATATCCATTTTGAGTCTCTCTTCCCTCTCCCGGGGAGACCCACGTAACCAGTTTTGGCAAAGAGCAAGTACAAGTAGTATTCAGTACTATGGCTATGGCTGATGTTGAAGTGACCCTTGTACCCCCCCCCCCCAAAAAAATTGATTCACTGTCGTTGATGTTTCAGATTTGAATTGCCTTGATTCTTTGGCCTTTTCGTCCGAACAGATCTAGAAACTGCAGAGAAGGATCAGTACATGGATGGTGTGGTCGAGCTGTACCAGGGTGATATGAAGCAGAGGGCCACGACTGCTTTACACAAGGAGAAAGTGGAGGTGAAGGCAGAAGAGGATAGGAAGCTGGGTCTCCAGCTGAGAGCCAATGCTACTTGGTCCGGGTCAGCAATATTGTCGCTTATCTTTCAGCTTTGTTCTTATGTCGCCAATGCTCACATGGCAGCCCATTTCATCGCAATTTTGGTTAGTAATTTAGTTTACTAGTACCTGAAAGGTCTAGCTAGATTTCGAGTGGATTTCAAGAGCGACAGGTGGGTGATTCTGATTGATACAGCGCCGCAGCAAAATAGAATGATTATCTAGTCACACTGCGCAGGCAAGAGCAGCGCCACCCACAAGAAAGTAATCGGCTAATCGGAATCAGTTCTATTTGGCAAAACGGCCAAGATCGCTCACCTCAGGGATTGCTCGCCAAGCTGAGATCGCAGTTCCGTCAACTCCTGCTCAACGCGCGGAGTATCCAGCGCATCGTGGAGATTTGCAAGTACTGAAGCCGTCGTCATTTCAAATTTGGACTTCACGGAGAATTTCAAAGTATTAGGAAATTAGAGGCCACATGCCACGTACTGCTCTTTTCTCTCAAGCCGTCGTCGTCATTAAAAATAGATCTTGCAAAGAACGGCGACTGATTTGAACCACACAGGCAGTCGTGCTGCCCACGCGAAGTTCTATAGAGAAGGCGACCGTCACGGTCGACTTCCCTTTAGAAAACAGCCAGGCAGCGGAGAGGAAGAGAGATGAGCTTGCGAAAGGTAGTGTCGGTCCCAAGCAAAATATATTTGTCACCAGCGCTGAGAGCAGCGACGAGGAGGACCAAAAAAGTATGAAACCTTCCTTGGACAATAAATTCCTCATGGCCAGTTACCATTCTGTACCTTACCTTCCATCATACCAAGTTTTATCGTCTCAAGTGCATGTGTTGATGTCCAAAGTCTAAGTTCAATTTGTCGAAAGATAAGCGACAATATTGCTGATGCGGACCAAGTACTAAGTCTCTCAAACACAAAGCAACTTCAGTAGCAGAATCTACATCCACAACAAAAGCAACAGGTGAAAGTCCAAGGACACCTTGAATGATTTCAAACACCATGAACATGCGCTGTGAATGCTGACGTGGAAGTACACAAAGATACCAATGTACCAACACAATTCCAATCTAATTTACGCAGGAATATACAAAAATCCCGTTGTTTGATCGCCCGCTACTGTTGTTGCCTTGGCGACAGAGAGATTGCGACGCCATTCTCAAAGCCACCGTACAGCAGAACCAGCTCACCGTGTGCAAAATCCGTGTGAAACTTCCCCGCGGATGACACGGAGTTTGATACGTAGTTCTGTGTAGCAGAAACTCTCTAGTGTCACAGGTAATCAGAAATGGCTAACACCTAACTGCTGATGAGAGAAAAATAAGAATACGGACCCTTACCTAACAAGCTGTAAGGCGAGAACTGATGATGCAACTAACGCAGGTGGAACACAGCCAGCTTGAACACTCAACCAGGACATAAGGAATGTCGGGCGAAGATGTTTGAACGTCTACAATCACAGAAAGCATATTTTATGAATTACCGGTACTCTCAGCCAGGGTCATCCACAACTGTCATCATTACTTTTAGTAATAGGTTTTTCATTTGACCCGACGAGACCACACGAAGCTTGCAGACCACAGCACGAACAGTTCACCAGCCACACTCCACGAAAGCAAGTAGTATTACTCCTGACAAGTCTTGTTTCAAAAACCTATTACTACTATTTTGACGGACCTATTGAAGATGGCAACAAAGAATTATGTCATCATTTACCATACCAATCTCTCCCCCCCCCCCCAAACCCATACACCACCAGACTGCATACACCATACACAATTACCCCTAGCTATACTCACAAACTATGTAGAGAACCTTCAAAAATGGTGACCTAAACCATACAGTTGCTGTGCCTTTACTCACACACAGTAGCCCACCCCCCCCCCCCCCCCCCACCCCCCACCTTTACACTTAGGTAAAGCATCTTGCTAAGAAAAAAGTGCCACTATCCTATAGGGATGTGATATACAGTTGAATATCAGCACAGGATCCAAGGTATCCAAGAGATATACCAAATACTGTAAAAGCCATTATTCTAATGAGCTGCAAATATAACGATTTCCTAAAATTGACCAGTTTTATACGTGTACCAAAGGTAACGATTCTCACTCATTCTCAACGCTCACTAGCACCAGTGTAAGTATCACTTTCTGTATAACGTTTTCTATTTTACGACAGATTCCTCCTCGTTAACTCGTTAGATTTAGCATTTCGTTATATATATGGCAAAGCTCTGTACTTTTCACAAAGGTGTTGCATATGTGCAGAAGTACATAACCAACAGTGTGCAACTCCTATCAGAAGTACATAACCAACAGTGTGCAACTCCTATCAGAAGTACATAACCAACAGTGTGCAACTCCTATCAGAAGCACATAACCAACAGTGTGCAACTCCTATCAGAAGTACATAACCAACAGTGTGCAACTCCTATCAGAAGTACATAACCAACAGTGTGCAACTCCTATCAGAAGTACATAACCAACAGTGTGCAACTCCTATCAGAAGCACATAACCAACAGTGTGCAACTCCTATCTCGAGTGTGCAACTCCTATCTCGAGCTGTGATAGGTTCACCCACGGCGGATTTTTTTATTGCGTCATTCTTTGGCAGAAGTATGACCAAGTGTGTATGCTTTCCCGCACTTGTTTCGTAGACACCGTGAGAGCTCATCAGGTTCAGGAATCAGGACACATTGATCTACCGTCCGCTGTTCTGCTTTGACTACTGTAGCTGAGATGTCAAATTCTTTGTACTTCGACCTCTGGCTATGCACGATGGCATCACACCATCAGTTAGCCAAACAGCCGTGAAAGACCGATGTCATAAAAAATTCCGCCGTAGGCTGGGGGGATGGTCGAGCTGCACACTCTTGGTTATGCACTGTCGATATGCGAGATCAAATGACCGCGAAAGGATATGCAGGGTAGTCACAAAGTTCCTAGCCAGGGCCCTGGAGAAACCTCGAAGAAAGAATCAAATCAGTCAGCAAAGACAACTCACCAGAAGAATACTAGCTGTCGGTGCACCGTGAAAAGGCTGGCACAACTTGAGTATGGTCTAATGCATCAAGCACAGAAGAAAAGCAAAACCACACACACAAATAAATTACGCAATGACCAGGGCGATTTGCATGCTCACAAGGAAGATATCATCATCAGAGCCATCCAACGATCATCAGGCAAGTCGCCGGACTCCCAGCTAAACAAGCGATCCACTGCCTCATTCACAGAGAGATTAAGACGATTCTGCCAACGAGCGGGCGGGCAAGCAAAGAAGATGACCATGAAATGCAAACTCCTATTTGCTTGCTCATATGCAAAGTCAAAAATTCAGATTTTACGCTGGTGACCAGTTCAATAATTATGACAAAACCTTTTTTTTCCGATTAAAAAAGATTAGACATGCTACTATGGATACGGAAACCTAGTTTTCCGCAAACCTTGTTTTCAGGAAACCTTGTTGTCCGCAAACCTTGTTTTCCGCAAACCTTGTTTTCCGCAAACCTTGTTTTCCGCAAACCTTGTTTTCCGCAAACCTTGTTTTCCGCAAACCTTGTTTTCCGCAAACCTTGTTTTCCGCAAACCTTGTTTTCCGCAAACCTTGTTATCCGGAAACCTTGTTTTCATTCTAAAGTCTACATGTAAGATTGCAATCATATTCGAAAATGCAAACTCCTATTTGCTTGCTCGTACACGAAGTCAAAAATTCAGATTTCATGCTGATGTTCAGTTGTGGCGACACCTAAACAAAATAATTATTATCATCAGGAGCTTCTCCGCTTACAGTGGTGTAGGAAGCGGGGGACAAGCCCCCCCCCCCCCCCCCCCCACCAAATTTTTGGCGGATATAGGGCCGAGACTCGATTGATGCTACATGTTTGCATGCGCAAGTGAGAAGCATGCAGATCAGCCCACAGTCATGCCCTCACATCGCTCGTAGCCAAAGCTGACCATGCATATGCAGTGGGTTATCGTACTTGACAGGCCCGGGAACAGGCAGGAAGTCTCGCCACGACGACAGATGCCTGTGTGACCACTGACTAGGCCCTGCGCGTGCCACCGGCATGAAGCACGGATGGTACGCGGTCACAGATCAACCCTTGGTCCTTTTTGCATCGTAGCTGCTGATGAAGCGTTGTTCTTCGTGGGCAATTTCCTTCGAAATCGGAAAGGCAGGAGTACTTTGCTTTAGTCAGTCAGTTCTTATTATTGCTATACCGCAGCGTTCTGGAGAAAACCACTTTCCAGAAGAAAATGTTCCTGACTTACTGTTAGTACAGTAGTTGAACTGTTCTCGGAGAGCGAAGATTGCAAGGTACGACCAGCGGTGGCCATACATTTCACCATTTTCATGGAGAAACTGAGCACGCGGCTTGCAGCCATCATTCAATGACCTCAAAAAGATTTCACAAGGGTCAAATTAGTCATCAGCACCATGGTGGAAAATCCGTTATCAGCCGAACATACTACTACAAGTCGCAGAGTTCTATCACTTGCAGGAGATGAGTCAGAGGTTCTTGTTTGTTAATAGCTGAAATCGGGGAGTTCTTGAACATACAGTAAAACCTGTGACTACCGACCACCCCTTCGTGCCAGCAAAAGCGGTCTTTAGTAGCAGGTGGTCTTTAGTTAGAGGTTTGCACCGTGCGACCATATATGGATCCCATTATTATGATAATGCAGCTAATACAATTCCCCAGGACTTGCGCAATGCCATTCTTAATTCAGGTCAAACAACACTTGGAGAGAAAGACGGAGAGATGGAGAGAGACAGAAAGAGAGAGAGAAGATTAATTTGTTTGCAGACATCAAATTCAGCTGCTACTTCTGAAGCCAGGAGTCAAACGTTCCCTGTGGAAGTTTCGTTTTGCGCTGGGCTTCAAATTTGTTCATGCGATCAATCGTACCGATTATCCTTGTTGTGACTTCTCGATTGTTTGAATGCGATCCTTCAGCATCAGGACCTCGCGGTGCTGCTTTGTGACAAAGCCACTCAGTCTTCGTTTCTCCTCCGAGTAGTAACATCGAGCAGAGAGCGCTTTCGATGCGCTCTCCAAGACGTTTCCTATCAAGTTTATTCTTGACAGCGCTTGAAATTCTGACAGGTGTAGTGCAGTCCACACGGACTCCACAGTCAAAATGGCCTGCGTTCATTTGTTCAGCTGTAGTACCGAGAGATTCCTTTCAGGACCACGGAAAATCAGCAAAATTTCAAGGAGCTTCGAGCAACATTTGATTTCGTACATCGCGGTCGCTAGTTACGGGTCAAAAATCGTCTTTGGGACAAGAAAAGGTGGTCGCTGGTCGCGTTCAGCAGGTAGTTGCTAGTCACAGTTAATTTTGAATGTGAGACCGTCCGTGCCTGGCCAAGTGGTCGGTAGTACCAGGCTGGTCGCTAGTCACGGTGGTCTGTAGTAGCAGGCTGGTCGCTAGTCACGGTGGTCTGTAGTAGCAGGCTGGTCGCTAGTCACGGTGGTCTGTAGTACCAGGCTGGTCGCTAGTCACGGTGGTCTGTAGTAGCAGGCTGGTCGCTAGTCACGGTGCCGGTCTTTAGTTACAGGTTTTACTGTAACTCATAAGAGTATCCCTCTCTGCCTCTCTGCCTCTCTGCCTTTGCCAGTAAGGTTTGCTATATGATCAATTCTCTTTCACCATTGCGGATGAATTTCGCTTTCAGGTAAATTCCCCTTTGGAATTTGGCCGGGCTGTCAGTCAGCGCTACTTATCCAGTGGTCGCTACAATCTCTCCTGTTCAACAAACAGTGTACAGACTTGAGTGCTACATGCACTCGGTTTTCACTATTGCTCCATACATATCCAGTGCACGTATTTTATGATGTAGAGCGAAAAATTCCGAAAGAAGTGACAGCACAGGCGCAGAGTGAAATACTTGAACAAACACCACTCTGTGTAGAAGGAGTACCGGTATAACGGTACATGTAGAACATGTAAACACCAGTATATGAGTAGGTCATTGTCTGCAAATCAGCCCCCCCCCCCCCCCCAAAAAACATCTTCCTACGCCACTGGCTTATGCTTCAATGTAATGTAAATATAGAGGTAAATACAGAGGTTTTTCAAAGGACGAGGCGCTGTGCCCGTCAGCGGCGCTCACCCTGGTGGTGCGTTCACTCCGAGATTTTGTGGTGACCAGGTTGCACATTGAAAAGTATAGGAAATGTGACAGGTTCGTCTCCACCAGCGTGTGGAGCGATTTTGAAGCTTGTTCTTTTTCGCCCAAGCCATGGAAGGGCTTCCCGGTAGCTGCTCTGACCAAACACGAGTGTCGGACATGAAGTGGAGCGCCATCCTAGTGCTTATTTCACTTCCACGCGTCTATTCCAGTACAAACTGAATGTGATGCGGGCTTCGTGTGTTCCCCAGCGATTCAAAATTTCTCGCACGTGACCCCAAAAAGTGACCTTTGGTCCATCCTTGAAAAAGCTCTATACATAGCATGTATGGTTTTCGCATAAGCCGAAGCGGCAACACCCAAACAGAATAGTGGTATAAAACATGTGGCAAAAACCAGTATTCTGCCGATTCGAAAAGATAAGAAGTGCCACTTTCGATTGATGAAAACCATTATGGCGATCCAGCCTTGCTTTCCTTCTACAATCTCCTCACGAGGTTGCAATCATATGATCTACTCACCACTTTACCTGTTACCTCCGAAGAAAATATAGCAACTACGCCGAAAAACACATTGACCACATCGGGAATTACACGGAGAACGTCGGGAGTGTGTGATTGTGGACAGGGGCTGATGTTGGTGTCACATGTGCATTGAAAACTGACCGTGAATAGTAAGTTCATAGAATATTCGGTGTTCATTCATTATGTCCAGTATACAGAATTAGTTCGTTAGCCTTAGAAAACATTCGTTGCAACACTACTTACAACAGCAGCAAGTTCAGGAGACGAAGTACATTGGGAAATAGCCTGCCTGCATTGCAAACAGGAGTTCCAGCAAAACATAATGATGAAACCGTGACGAGACATAACAGTAGGCACTTGACATAGACACAACGATCAAACATCGCACATCAATACAGATCAAACATCTCAGATCATAAATTACATGCCAACATCGCCAACAACACTGTAAGACAACATATTTAAAGCCATATAACCTGTTCAGCACATTTAACCTGTTCAGCAGCACAAAGGACGTAATAATACTAGGTCATTCAAAATGACACTGCACCACAAAGGACATAGTATTACATCCTCAGTGTACAGTACATTGTGTACTTTCACCATCTGACTGGACCACGTGCATTCAAACTATCGTAACTCAGTCAATTGTTGGTCGATTCTCACGATCGAAGCATGTATCTGCAAGAGAAAACTATCAGCTTGCGATAGAAACAATCGCCGAAGCGATACGACCACCGGCTGTTGAGATATTCGACTCGGCACGGCAAATTCAAGTAGATTTGAATGGGCGGCGGGAAACAATAACTTTATTATAGCAATCAAAAGAATCAGTGAAGCGGACATTGTACGTAGTAATAATCAACGCACATGTGTAGACTGTGAAGAATGACGCTCTTCCTACCCAACTAATTAGCTACGTGATCTATTATCTTGAATGCCGGCATTGTTATAGCCGATACGAAGGAAGAACCCGTCAGCACCTGGACACCCGCGTCAAACATGTACCGCTCTACTTATTATTCAGACAATGCTAGAGCCCTAAGGCCTAGGCGAGGCCGACTAACCAAGCCCTTGAAGGAGACCCCCATCGGACAAACGACTCAGCACCAACTAATATCGGAGGAGACTACACGATCAACAGACAGCCCAGATGCTAACCAGTCCGAGATACAAAGACACACATACACACACACATACGCACGCGCATATACCTTACACTTCACCCTCTTAAAGTCTCACACTGTTATACATCTTCACTGTCGTTGTTTCTCACTTCCTCATTTTATTTTTCTCTTCACCCACCCCTGTTATTAGTTCACACTTACTCAAATCTGTCGTACTTCACCTTCTCTTCTCCCACTTTTCTTTCACACTACTGTACAGGCAGAAAATTTCGTCGGTCAATAATTTCGTCCAGCTCCAAAGCAAGGGAGTTCGTCTGGTTGTAAATTTCGTCCATGGATCATAAGAGTGTATTGAACAGCTGGACAAATCGACATTAGTCTGGCATTTAATTTAGTCCAAAAGCTACTTGGACGAAAAAGACGAAATTAAATTCCAGACGAATATTTCTGCTTTAATATACAGTATTATATTGCCAGTACTCTTACACGTATATTTTTTGTTTATTGCTAGATTTCATTGTTGAGACGTATTTCCCTGATGATGGTCTCTTGAAAATCAGTTAGGAAATATTATTATTTATATTTTATTCTTGTTGACTATTACTACGTACAATGTCTGCTTCTTCTGATTGCTATAATCAAGTAGATTATTTTGTGCAGTCTGCGGAACGCGTATTTTCCATTTTTGATCATTTTTGCGCTACCTGCTGCCATGGATACCAGATTCAAATGATGGTAGTGGATCTCGGGAGTCCTCAAAAAATTTGAGCTCGATACGGGCAAGGAGACCGAATTGGCAGCTGAGTATTTGACCGCTTGGCCGTGCTTAAGTCTGTCGAGTACGTGGATGAAGTTTGCCAGACTGTAGCAAGGGGGTTTGGTTTTGCTCCGAGCTGAGTTTGTTCGTCGTCTCATGGCCTTTCCAGGAAGTTCAAGATCGTGGAATTTATCCTAGGGAAGGCAAATTATCGATCTTTGAACAGCTAGTACTGTCATAGGAAAATGTAACTTTTGCAGGTGTCGACGTGAGGCGGCGTTCAAGTAGCGTCGTGCTGAAAGGGTTAAACTTTGAAGGTGAACGGGGCGGTATAACTTTTTGAGGGGTAATTTTCAAATAAAAAGTTTATCGATATGATTTTTTTCGGTGAATCTCTGGACAACAGACCTGCTCAACTTTCTTTAGCGTCATTTGCACTTTCGGAAAGGTCCATGAAAATTAACAGGGACCAATTGTTCAATCTGCGGGCAGAACAGTTTCGTCCTTTGTGGACTCATCAGCGCAGCACAGAGAAAATGAGGCCGAACCTGATGGCAATGAAAAATAGATTTTCCAAAGCCAGATTTAAACCAGGCCCGAGCGTACCTTGCCAGAGTGCTCAAACTGACAAGTCAGTGAGCTCTGCATAACGCAAACAGCAAAGGCACTATCTCACACGAGAGTGCTCAACTGCTACAAGAGCAGGAGCGAAATACTCAATATATTATAGGGACCAATCCAATTATAAAAAAATTCTTTAAATTTTGCTCAAAAGTGAAAATAAGAAAGAGAAAGTTAGGCAGGGCTCTTCTCCAGAGATTTACCAAAAGAAATTTTCAAGTTTCATCTTCATCTTGCCGAAAAGCTCGAAAATTCAGTCAAAGTTGCCCCAAAAAAGTTGTACTGCCCAACTCCAGCAATCTCCGGATTTTGTTGGTTAACGACATGAAAATGATGTTAACAAATCCTGTAAGTCAAAACCGACAAACGACCGTACATACTAAATACGTGTACATGATCTTTTCCAGATAAAGGATTACAAATTATCCCGAAGTTCACCCATGGCCATTTGACACCTTTTTTCAATGCTAGGGTGTCCAAAATGAAAAGAATCATGATTAGTAGGGTACGGTTTACTACTACTGTATAAGTTGTTCAGTTTGAGGGGAAAATGCGAACGGGAAGAGCCTGAAGAAAAATTTGACTGTCACCACCAGGACTCGAACCAGGGACCCTCGCTTATGGCCTGCGATGCTCTGCCACTAAGCTATGGCATAGTTGTCATCCAAGCACGATCGTTCAACATTTTCTTCAGACTTTGAAACTCACGATTCCTGTGAATCCATACAGGCGGGTTGGACACAGCCCTCACTGCAACCCACACGCTTCACGTACAAACTAGGACGCGGGGAGCCCCAGCACATAAGATACTCATTAGTTTGAACTGTATAAGGGGCCATCCGCAAATATAGATATTTATTTAGAAACGAAAACTGGGGGGGGGGGGGGGGGCACCTGAGCACCTGCTCGTTTCCCGAAAAATATCGATGCACAGTTTGTATATGTGGGCAGGTCCACAAAAAAAAGAAAAAAATCGATACTTTGTACCGTTTGTATGTGTTCGTTTCTCAGGGAGGTTGAAGAGAATGACTAGTTTTCACATCTAAATAAAAAATATCGGTATTTACGGATGGTCCCTAAGCAGAACCTTTAGTCAGTGAATAATTCCGTCCAACTACAAAGACAGTCAGTTTGTCAGTTGGAAACTTTCATCCAAGGATGAACGTAGTGAAAGGCTAGACAAATCGACAAATAACAAATGCTAGCCATGACTATTATAGGCCATTCACACGACGTGTAAACACTTGCACGTGTGTGACCAAGATAACACTGGCAAACCGTGATCCAGTTCACACGGTGCTGGGCAAACTTTGCAACCGTCAATGTATCCATAGTGACCTCCTGAAAATGCCGGGAAATGTTCAATTTTGAATTTTTCCTTGTTCAAGCACTGCATTAGCAGTACGTACTTTCAACAACCGACACTTTTCCTGGCGTGCAAAGATAATCGCGAGCAAAAGGACCTCGGCCAAGATAAAAAAATCAGTTGCACGTGTGTGTCCAAGTTTATCGTATTCGAGTAAATATCCTTGGAAACGGTACGATAAAAGTAAGTTTGCCCGTCGTGTGAATGGCCTATTAGGCCCTAGTACAGGCAAGCGTAAATAAGCTCCCAAGAGTATGCAACTCTGCACACAGAGTCTCCGACAGCTAAACATCACGCGTTCCAAGTACGCTTTGTACGTATAACGAACGCCAGGGGTGCGCAGTCCGGATATCTGCCATGATCATGCTGATGACTAACTCGCATAAGCTGAGTGGGTTTGTGTCAAGGATTTCTATTTCTACTACTGCACTGGTGACTAAAACGGGCTGCATAAAAGGCTGCATAAAAAGGGTATCCAGAGTTGCCCACTCTTGAGGGCTTATATACTATTGGTACTGGCTCCAGCCATACCGGAAGGAAAGCAAATACTTTAGAGAACAGAAGTAGAAGACATACTTATCCATATTCCAAGCTACACCATTGATCGCTACTTGAGTGTGTAACATCTCTACATAGAGCACAATAATCTGCTGCAGGCAATGCTCAGAAGTCTTCAATGAAAATTGCTCAAAAAGTGTTGCAATGTCCTGTATAATGCACAGAAAGAAACAGAGAGAAGTACAATGAAGAGCAAAGAGGTTCAATACAGATGCAGAAATACAAGCCGAGCAAAGAAAAGGCAACAGGCCCTCCAAGTAAACATGCCATCTTGTCCCTCGTACAAGTCAGAAGGGGGGGGGGGGGGGGGGAGAGACCTGAACATAAGAACGGAATCAATCACGAGTGGTAGAATGAACCGAGCACATCCGAACGCAAGGGTATGGATCACTGGTCAAGCCGGAGTACAAATGTTTTATTGTGTTTCTGACATGCACCCTTGTGAACAAACCATATCACACTCACCGCCTTTTCTGTCCTTCTGACTGGTCACATTAGAATATCTATGACGATAGCCAATCAGGCTGCATGCAAACAGCTCTAACAAGATCCCATGCTCCACCCAGCGATAGCAAAGACAGGCAAAGTGCTTGCAGCAACAAAATAATAAGCAGGTAGAAATAGTCAACCTCAGCGCTCAAAGGGTAATGGCACGGACATCAGCCTTCCCAGGAGGGTAGAGATCAGGAATAACTGCCACCCTCGCAAAAACTCCATTCTATGTGTGCTGTGTACTGAGCCATGTTGCACACAGAATAGCACTCATGTGCTACACTCAGTCTGTAAACTGTCGCTTATACAGGTGGAATCCTGTCTTATCCTGATAATTCGAACCTCAAAATGCCAGGAAAAAACTTCTAATTATCCGGACATTCTAATTATCCAAACATGAACCCACAACACAATATTTCAAATGGTGAACGGTACTATTCGGCCAATAACATGTAAGGAACTCTTCCTCTCCTCTCCTCCATGCGCTCTCACAGCAGACTCACTGCTACCCTCGGTAGCCATTACACACACCAACAGCCATACAAGGAAGGGTTGCAGGTAGATACTGAAGTTCCTCCTGACAGCTGTTTCGCCTTCATAAGGCTCATCAGAGAAGATGATATTGAATAGGATGATATCAGGTGGAGATGGTCAGATTTATACTACAAAACATGGGCGCAAGATTACAGGCAAAATGTGAGAATGAGAAGTTACAATTCTCCAGCAACACAGTGCCAGGGGTTCCAAGAAAATGGCAGGTGAGAAATCCAATCACAAGCTGCTAACCTCTCCAGCAACACAGTGCCAGGGGTTCCAAGAAAAAGGCAGGTGAGAAATCCAATCACAAGCTGCTAACATTAATTTTCTAACGGCTAGGTGATAGTTTAAGAATTTTGGCGAGCCACCAAACAAAGTGAAAGAAAGTCATGTAGAGTAGAGTACTAAGCGTGCAGTGCAGCAAAAGTAAGTTACACAGAGTGCACACACGCAAGAATGGACTGTAGTTACATGTACTTCACCCTTGGGCAGTTCGCCAGCCAACCGCGCAGGCATGCAGAGAGGCACCACGTCGACTGTCCCCGCAGAGTCCCCTCCGGCGTACTCCCCAGCAACAGATCTCCGCTGGCCGTCACACCTTGCTGCGCACCGTATGCGGCCGGACCGACCGCTACCTCGCGCTGTCCCCATTTGCGACTCCGTTGCTCGCTGCCGTTGAACGTCGAGACAACCCAGCCGAGCGTGGCAAAAGCAGAAATGAGAGTCCTAGGAGGAATTCGCTCGTCTGCCCCCACAGCTGAGTTGTCGATGAAGACCATGCTTCCACGATAACGACACCGCTCCCTTCCTTCCATTATCGACGCACTCACTGAAGTACCGCTCCACTGGCGCACAGTAGCAATTTCAAATGGTGAACGGTACTATTCGGCCAATAAAATGTAAAAAATCTTTACATTTTATTGCGAAGTTATACATTGCGAAACTATTTTGACCGCCTCCAAACTACCGCTATTGTCAACGTGTTGTTACTATTATAGCGGATCCATTGCGCCGAACATGACTAGGGACAATTATGACAAACAGCACGAACTATTGTAGAGTCACGGAAAACAGTGCATTTTCATATGGGATACATGCCGTCAAAAGTAATAAAAAAAGCTTCCAAGAGTGTGCAGCTCTGCATGGGTTTGCAATGGGGTCCGCCGACAGCGAAAAACCGCTTATCTTCCCCTGTTGATTTCCACGTGTAGCGACTTTAGCGTATAGTACTATACGTCTAACTACGGTGAAGGAACTGACGCATACATTGTTGTACACTACACGTGCCAGAGCAGGCATGCCTCTAGATGAAACTGTGCACAATCCAGCACAGCAAGTCTGATCTTTGGCGCTGTTGTACATCGCACTGCAATTGACAGCCTGGTTCTAATTTTCACCCCTGTTGAAAACCAGCTGGGAAGCAACACAGCGTAAGGGGGGGGGGGGGGGGGGGGGGGCAGTGATGTTCTACGGCAGTGGAGTGTTATGGAAAATTAGGACTAACCTGCATTAAGTCAAGACACACATCCTCAAGCAAGGGATCATCTGCACCTTCCTCCAGCAGAGAACTATCTTGATCCGCATCATTCTCCCTCTCCTCCTCAACATCATCATCACCACCATCAGCCATACTGCCAATACGGACAGAAGTGCCCCTAGTAGGAACAGCCCGCCTCCTTCCACCTGAACGAGCACCAGCATCAGTAGTACCTTTACCTCGGCTGGCCTTAGCTGCAAGCTTCTTCTTCTTTTTCCCTAAATCAACAATAACATGCACTAATACATGAAGAAGTAGCAGCCACTACAGAACAATACAGTGGTACCTCAGAAAGAGGTGTAACATTGACTCGTGGAGCAAGCTAACAGGGTTCAAATAGTGGAATGCACCAAAGATACAAGCCGATTAGAATTATTTGATAGCACAGTACATGTATGAGAAATTCAGCAGTACTCGCCCTTTGATAAATTATTCCATTTCTTCTTCACCCACCCTGCATCATCACCTGCTTGTCCAAGCCCATCCCTGACAAGATGTACAATGGATGTAATAGCTGCTGTCGGGAAGAATGCAAAATCCCCCCCCCCCCCCCACTGGTCTTTTGTTGTGAGAGTTAGTCAGGTGAAGAGAGACTGTTGTTGTCGGCCCAGAGCGCATGGTGGATGAAGAAGAAATTGAATTATAGTGCATTCAGTGAGAAAAGACTGGACACAGGACAGGTAAATATAGCAGCAACACTGCACACCACCTCATTACATACCATTTGGCACAGTGAATGTTGACAGCAACCGCACAAAATTGACTGCTTTCTCGAACAGTAGCGAATGAAAAACCTTGTAGGCGCTGCTCCCTGCAGTATGCATTAAATAAGATATACAACACATGTGTCGGACGCTGGTCCAGCCAAACACAAGTCATGACAGTCCACACCACACATGTGCTGGGGGCCTTAGTTATGTACGGTTCAACTGGTGTATACATTGCATTTTCGGCGAGCATTTTTCCGTGTCGTGTATACCGTATTCAACCACATACAACCACATACAAGTGCATACAAGTGCATGCAAGTGCATGCCCTTACAGGGATGAATTTTAGGGTTCACGGATTGGCATGCTAGCGTCGCCAGCTACATCATGCACGTGACAGGCGCGTGCATATACTGTCCCACACAATCGGTCAGTGCTCAAATCGCATTTTCCCATCAATATCACTCACTTTCAACTCTACGGGATTCATTACGGTTGGCTCAAACTGCCTGAATTTTTGAATCCACACGCACGAAAGACGTTCCAAGACTTCCACCGTTCGTATTTTTTCAAACGAGTTCCGGGTTTTCCAGTAACTTTGGCCAAAGTTCGGCTAAAAAAACAGGGGGAGCCGTTGCGTTTCCGTAAAATACTGAACGGTAGAAGGATAGCCAAGGTCGAGAGCAAAACAACAAGCCATTATTTGTCAAAATCGAACAAGAAACGGCTCAGCGCATCTATTTTCCGTGCACGCGCGCGCGCGTACTTTGGCCGACAAGGTGTGGAGAATTTCTGAAGAAGAAGAATAACAAGAGCAGCAGCGCTCGGAACAGCCGTGCTGGATACTTCCAATCCCGACGATGGAGCGTGTTGGCTGTCGTGAGCTGCTGAAACGACCATGACATTTCTTTTTCTTTGTATACCCTACATATCTTGACGTGCCCTAGCTCAGTTTCGGCCTCTTTACAGGAAGAATATTTTCAGCGGCCAAACAGCAAGAAGAGCAACAGATCGAGATTTGCAGGGCAAACAAAGGATGCGTGCAGCTACATCTAATCAGGTTCGATGCAGCTGCGCTTTGCCAGAACCTCAGCAGATAAGAAAAGACGACAGAGTGTCTCAGATGGAACTGGATCTTTCGCCAAGACCGCCACCGCCGCCATCATCAAGTCCAGGGCAGTCAGAAAAATGCAAAGCCCGAGTGAAGTGAAGCCACTGAAGCCAAGGAAAAATTCAAAAAGTACGCTCTCCGGCTAGACTTCGAGTCGATATTTTTTTACTTCGATAGGCGCTGTCGCGGCCTGTAGCGCGCGTCCATAATCCAAAATGGAGGCGCACGTGACGGGTGCTTTTAGTGGCAAGCCGTGAACCCTAAATTTACTGTCATGTTGTTGCATAGCAGTTTTTGCTATGCAAAATCTCAATTGTGTAGCCATCTTTGATATTTTGATTAGCACTTTTCTTCGAAAGTTGGGTAGTTGCCACATCGTTCTTGTCGAGAGTGATTCCTGAAACCTCCTTGAAGTATCCACAAAATAATGACTGTGTTCTGAAACCTTCTCAGAGCAATCGTCCATGCCCAAACAAGCCCTTTGTTGTGATACTTAGGTATAAGTAAGTATAAGTATAAGTAAGTAAGCAAGTATGATTTTTGAATTTCCTCTATCTATGCATTTTCCTGAAAAACCTGTTCGAATTTCCTTTATCTACGCACGTATCCACACATTTTCTTGACAAAACCTGTCAAGTCTCAAGTCGGCGGGAAAAGCACGAGCCCCCAAGTAGAGACTACTTGTATTTTTGAAATGGATTGTAGAGAGTCAACACAAGACCAAACTCACGTACCAACTATTGGGTTGAGAATGAGGTAGATGTGAGCAGCCAGGACACCTACATGGACCTGGACAAGCACAAGGGAGAGAAATTAAACCCTAAAATCTTTGGACCGCAATGAAGAGGACGAGCTGAATTGACATTTGTTACTTTATTCGACACGTGATAACGATTCGAAATAATGTGCAATGGTGTAAAAGAAGAAAGAGAATGAATTAAGGAAGGACAATGTGAAAAATGGAGGGATCCGAACAAGTTTTCGTACAACACTCTTCAGGAATCGACGTTGTACTGAGAACAGACTAGAGTTAATGAACAAATAAAGAAAACCAAAAGTTTGAGAAGCAACACATATTAGCACTAAAATATCAAAGTGTGATTTATAAGTGGTGAGGATGAGAGTGTTGGTGATAGTCAGAGTGGTGTCCGTGGGTCTAGTACTTCCTCCGCGTCATCGAAATTGTCGCAGTTTGACTATAATTGTAGTGACATGTCACATGTTATCACGATCAGTCACCACCACCACCACACCAAGGTCGTTGACGCTGCAAATTCTATTCAAAAGAAATCTCTCCAAATTTATTATTTTACTCCCTGATGAAGCCCCAAGAAGCCCCAAGGGCGAAAATTTGGAGATTTCTTTTGAATAGAATTTGCAGCATCAACGACCTTGGTGTGGCGGTGGTGACTGATCGTGATACGAATTGGCTGCAGTGGAGCCTCCGTGTTCTAAAAATGTCACATGTTACTGACAACAACATAAGCATACGACAAGTATTACACAGGATGATAGTCTGAAGTCTAGAGTAACAAGTATTACACAGGATGATAGTCTGAAGCCTAGAGTAACAAGTATTACACAGGATGATAGTCTGAAGTCTTGAGTAACAAGTATTACACAGGATGATAGTCTGAAGCCTAGAGTAACAAGTATTACACAGGATGATAGTCTGAAGTCTGGAGTAACAAGTATTACACAGGATGATAGTCTGAAGCCTAGAGTAACAAGTATTACACAGGATGATAGTCTGAAGTCTAGAGTAACAAGTATTACACAGGATGATAGTCTGAAGCCTAGAGTAACGTTCCAGGACAGTTGGACTGAGAGTTTCACGCGGAGCTGAAGGCCTCGTCGTCGCTGAAGTCAATGGACGAAACAATATCGCTCCGCAAATTTTCCAGGAAGGTTGCAAGTTGGTCGTGCCTTATCTCAAAAGCTTTGGCTTTCTCAACAGGACAAGAGCTGCTATGCTTGTGGCCTGCTCTGGATGATTTCTACTTCACCACCAACTAAGTACGAGTACGTTGGCCAAGAATACACGATTGTTGTGATGTCGGTTGATTACGCTGGCTGCGGAATCACCACGATCTTGAAATAAACTTTTTTTTAGCCGTGGCATGCCCATTCATTTAGGTGTGTGGTCGCAGCTCACGCAGGTAAGTGTACGATCATGTCGAGTGCGCCCTCTTTCTCAGCATCACTGGTACAGTAAGTGAGCGTGTATCACTAGCACTACACGCACACGGCTCTTGCAGGTACTACATGTGTCTCAGCAAACTTGCATGCATGCATGCAAGTTTGCCGACCCCTCAATGCTTCTCTCAGCGCTGCCGCTTGTTCCACGAAGTCATTCTCAACCCAGCTCAGGTAAAACATTGGTGAGTTTTTGAGCGAATGGCTATGAGCACAAGAAAGGTGCAGGCGGTACCGCCTGACTGATCTCAGCTAGTCGAAAGTACCATCGCAGCGACATCAGCGAAGAAATTGAGTCTAGTTCAAAATGTTCAGCTTCCATCAACAGAAAATGGAACTTTGCCGTCACCCAATACTGATAACTATCGTCTACGTCCGATTCCTTACCTGTGGTACGACTGCTGGTGAGAAATTACCCCGCTTTTTATAAATAGTCAAACTGCGACAATTTCGATGAAGCGGAGGAAGTACGAGTAAGTCTTCAGTGCACAATCATCTCGTTTCCAATCCTGATTGTTGTAGCACTTACTCTGACTCTTGTGCCGTGCTCGTCTTGGATATAAGTTGCAGTGGTAAGTTTTGAAAGCTATTTGTCAGCGCATATACATTATACAAGCCTACTTTGTGTGTGCAGAAAGAAAGTGTTGTTACGTTGTTACATGGTTCAAGTCATGTTCATTGTTTGTGTGGCCAAGCATGCCTATTGTTATTTTGCTATGTAAGATTGAGTCATTGTGTTGCTATCATGTTCGCATTACACATTCACTGTTGTACCCTTACCCATTTTCCCCGTTTCTCTACCACTTGCATTGTTATAAATCAGATGCTAAACAGGCAACCGTTAATAAAGCACAATTGTATAACCGGTTCAGCCCTAATTCTTAGAAACCCAAAATTTGCAAACAGCAAAGTTATACAGCAGTGCCAGGTTCCAACATGCCCAGATAAGGGGAGTTCTACTGCACTGCAACTTGCCACTAAGGTGTCATTGTATAGTTAAAATGAACAACACATTACCTTGCTATGCTTTTCCATGATGCAGTACAGAAACGCAATGAGAACGCGTGGCGACACATCATTTTCTACCAAACAAAGCCAAAATCCTGTAGACATGTTAAACAAAAGAGAAATTCAAAAGCAACATGTTCACGACAAGACAATATAATAATCCCGGAACAGAAGAGAATAACAACACTCTTGCTGCTTATGAAGTAGAAGTAGAGGTAGGCACTTTGAAGATAATTGAGTGTGTTGATCCCTACATGGGAGCTCGCCCTTTCTCTGCCAACTTGACTTGACACCTGGACTGACTCGAGATAACCCAGAGAACATGAGAAGACCATCACTATGCACTCTGCAAACCTGCAAGAAAGCATGACTCCCTACTGAATACACAGCGCTTCGGGGAATTCACCCTCATTAGTTGAGCTTGAGTCGGCCAATGAAATTCGTACTGCAGAAGCACTGCAGTGTGTGCAGTGTGTGGTGCTCTAGCAGCCCAAACACTGCAGTGTGTGGTGCTCTAGCAGCCCAAACACTGCAGTGTGTGGTGCTCTAGCAGCCCAAACACTGCAGTGTGTGGTGCTCTAGCAGCCCAAGCACTGCAGTGTGTGGTGCTCTAGCAGCCCAAGCACTGCAGTGTGTGGTGCTCTAGCAGCCCAAGCACTGCAGTGTGTGGTGCTCTAGCAGCCCAAACATCACTAGCATACTAGCTTACAGCGGCGCTCCGTTTCCAGCAAGACGAACACCTCGCGTACTCCAGACAGCAGCGATAGTCAATGTCGCCAATGGAGGTGCAGAACAAGCACTGAGGACCGTTGGCCATTCACAATGTTGTTGCTGATGAGGAGTGAATTCTTTAAAAAAAACTGGTATAGAGCAGGGAGCAGTGCTTTCTTCCAGGTTTGCCGAGTGGAAGGTTTGATGGACTTCTTGTGTGCTCTGGAAGGCAGCCATGAGTCAGCCAAGCGTCCAAGTCGGCGGGAAAAGCAGGAGCTTCCGATGTTGGGAGCAACACCAAATCCCTCGATTATCTCCAAAGTCGCTAGCTCTACTCTGTCCCCAGCGCGGGTTTGCGACTAATGGGTTTGGAGGCAACAGCGTTGTGAATGGCCAGCGATGGTGGGGCACTATCCGACAAATCTCGACAGTGGTACTTGTGTATGGGTCGGCTCACATAACGCCGGTACGCACTGGGACCAAGAGTTCCTCTTGCAACCTTTCCCAACGTGATTTAGTTACAGACAACAGTCGACATCGCGAATAACGATTCACAGATAACAACGCGCGGATAACAACACTTAGTGTATTTGCCGGAGTATAACACACTTAGTGTATTTGCCGGAGTATAACAACACTTAGTGTATTTGCCGGAGTATAACAACATTTAGTGCATTTGCCGGAGTATAACAACATTTAGTGCATTTGCCGGAGAATAACAACATTTAGTGTATTTGCCGGAGTATAACACGCACCTTAGTATAATGACCACCTCCTTTTTTGAGCAACGTTTCGGCAATTCAAGTTACAATGCGCAGCCTAGATTTTGAGAGCATAATCGATCATAAAGACAGTACTATAGTGCGAGCATTGTCAGAATGTATCATAAAATTATTGATTTGTACACTTCGGCTTCAGGTGATCTTATAATTATGATGGCCAGAGCAAACGCCCATTTTACTACGTACATGCAATCCCGGATATAACGACAGCTTCAATAATGACAACTCGCCGGACCAACTTGTTGGCCACCGACGCAGTGTCTGCTCTAGGATTGTAGGACAGCCGGGTAAACGTGTACCTGGCGCAACCATTTCAACCGGGTCGGAGGCGGGTACACATGTACCACTGTCTCACCAGCCGAGTCCCATGCTTTAACTGGTTGGCTGGTTTATTTTAATTCGGACAATAAACGGGAACTAGGCCCAATGATTATAAAGGCGAATGGATAAGCCGCATTTAGAAAAGAGAGGACAGGAATTAGAAAATTACGAAAGAAGAAGAAGTATCTGACACATACAAGCCATGTAGTCAGTCCTTTCAAAGTTCGAAAGTGTAAAGTACCAACCGGGTCACAGGTGACCCGGTACTATATTTCCAACCGGGTCCAAGCGCTGCCCAACCGGGTGGATTACCCGGCTCACCCGGCGCTGGAGCAGACACTGCGACGCATGTTTACTGCTGAGGAGGTTATGAGTGCTGCACCCATCATACCGTATACAAAGAATGAAAGGGGGTTATGGTATGGCTGCACCCATCACACCGTATACAAAAGAATGAAAGGGGGTTATGAGTGCTGTACCCATCATACCGTATACAAAGAATGAAAGGGGGTTATGGTATGGCTGCACCCATCATACCGTATACAAAGAATGAAAGGGGGTTATGAGTGCTGCACCCATCATACCGTATACAAAGAATGAAAGGGGGTTATGGTATGGCTGCACCCATCATACCGTACACAAAGAATGAAAGGGGGTTATGAGTGCTGCACCCATCATATCGTATACAAAGAATGAAAGGGGGTTATGGTATGGCTGCACCCATCATACCGTATACAAAGAATGAAAGGGGGTTATGAGTGCTGCACCCATCATACCGTATACAAAGAATGAAAGGGGGTTATGAGTGCTGCACCCATCATACCGTATACAAAGAATGAAAGGGGGTTATGAGTGCTGCACCCATCATACCGTATACAAAGAATGAAAGGGGGTTATGCGACCCTGAAGACGTAACTGACTAGTGTTGAAACGAATAATCGAATAATCGAATAATTTAGAATATTCGTGGGGTGAACGAATAATCGAATAGTCGTAGGAATTATCAGAAATCGAAAAAAAAAAAAAAAAAAAAAAAGAAAAAAAAGATCTACAGTGTACCGTATTTTCCAGAGTATAGTGCGCACTTTAGATGACTGTGCTATTTTAGGCCCTAAATCGCAGGTGCGCACTATGCTCCGAATATGAAATGCATGTACATGTACTTCAATGAAGATTGAAGTGCGCACCCCCAATGAAGATTGGGGGTGCGCGTTGTTGTTGTTGTTGTTTATTTTACTTCACCAAATGAACAGGCAGAGATGCCTTCTCACCTGCGCGTGATACAAAGGTGCGCACTATACTCCGAAAAATACGGTATGCTCAGTGCTGACCCTACTGATATTTGCACTGCGTAGATCTGCTCGCAGAATTTCTTCTCAATCTCTTCTCCTCCAAGTTTTAATCTCCTATCGGTATCTTGTGTTACTTCTGTTCTTTCCATACGAGGGAAACATGGATGCAGTGAATGTGATTTTCGGTCTTTGACCACTTTCGACCAAGAGTCAAGACCCTATGCAGAGCTAGATCAGGCATTGCACACTCTGGGGGGTTATGTACTCTTGGCGGTACAGGTTAACCGGTTTTGCACCTCCACATAACAAAATCCGATAATCAGCAAAAACATTTTTTTAAACTACTTAAAAAGTGCTGAAAAAGTGTTGAAAAATGCCATCATGCGTATGATAGAATATAGATTATTCGTTCGATGGAGGGCGAAATTATTCGATAGATTATTCGTTCGAAGAATCCGTGTTCGGTTTAAACACTACGTAACTCCATGTGAGAGTGAGGATGCAGCCATGGCTGACCATGATGAGTTCGGTCTGGGGCTGAGAACCTATTCTGCTGAAGAAATGGCCGCTCGGGCCGGTCAAGAGTGAGCGCTGCTGCGTTTCCGACTGATGAAGAAGCAGCAGCTATTGCAGACGAGGCTGATGTAATTATCAGATCTCTGGAGAGCAGAGTCGTCAAAATGGAGAAGAGAGATGCGAGTGCTCTAAATGTTGTTCCATACCGACTCGCTTGGACTCCAGTGGCCTGCCACATGGTGATGTTTTGTTGCGAACTTGGCATATTTCGGACTACTCGGAGAACAGTGCAGGCTCTTTGAAACATGGGCATGACTCATCGATTCAAGGCTTGCAACACTACGGGATCTGAAAAGTTTTAGATCCGGGAGCTGTTCGCTGTTTTGTCACTTGTCACGGTTGTGGACTCATCGTTGTAGCAAAAATGAGGCGGGATTATTCCATGCGGAAAACTAAAATTTTCGTTCTCAAAGCACAACCATCTGATCCGGCAAGGAGAAACGCACGTTCCCTGACTACATGACTATACATACGACTGATACGAGTGTAGTACTTCGAAGTACATGACAAGTCCGTGTCTTGACTACATTTTTGTAGTCTCTTGAGTCTTGTAGATCTACCCCAGCACGGCAGTGCGGGAGTAGTCATGTTCCGTGCGTGATGAGTTTGTTGACTACAGCTAGACGCAGCGCAGAGATAGAGTAGAGGCGAGCGCGGACGGAAAAAGTCCAACTCGGAAACGGCTAAAATATGGGATAACCTCAAGGTTTTCCGAGCTGAAGATCACAGGGTACGTAGTGTTTTGTAACACTGAGTCGAATAGTCTTGGTCTGAAGAAGCTGTGACAAACGGTTCCCCAATCGAACGCGCTCCGAATGTGGCCATTTTGTACACAAATAGATGGTGTGGCTACCTGGCTGCATGCTGTGACGTCATCACCTGGATCTGGGTGATTCGCACTCAAATTCGCACATGTTCGATTGGGTGTATCTGACAAACCATAGACCAGACCGCAGCCTCCTCGGACAAAGACCATTCGACTCAGCGCCCGGAACTCTACGGACCCTGAGATTTAAATCTTTCACCGGACTTCCCCCACGGCTGTTAGCTGCACTTGGATCGCGGCAACTTAGTTTTCTGCACGTGAACCATGAAAAATCAATGCATGCTCATGCATGTTCATGCATAACCAGTCAGCTGGCCTGCTCGCCCACGCATTTGACAGGTAACAATTCCATCAAATTTGAGATATCGCTTCGTTCTAAGTCTCAAAACAGTTCTAAAGTCACCAAACCACGCTGGTAATCGATGGCTATTCAATGTTAACATCTTCAGGAAGACTTCAGCCGTTTCCTGAGAGTTTGGGCATCGTTGCCGTTATTTTTCACGGTGTTCTTCTTCCTCCTGTCTGGAGCTGCAATTGCATCCTGGAATTATTTGAAAGGTATTTCGTGCGGGCTGTGGGGGGTTCCA